TAGCCACAGCATTCTTAAATAGTGTTCAACTTAAACTTGACGTTTTTATTTTAAAGATACAAAAATATAAGATAGAGACCCATTCTTGTTCTTAGGAGATGATAATCACAGAATAAATATACCTTTAAATTTTTCCATTACTGCAAACAAACCAAAGCCCTCCTTCTGAATTCAGACCATTTAGACCAGATACAGAAAAATTATCAACCGTGTTTTGTTAAAAGTAAAAAAGAAACACTGCACCTAAATTCTAAAAAGATTTAAAAAAAAAAAAATCAGTCCTATAACATAACACAAAGGAAAGAGCGCTTTTCTTTCTTTCTTTTCTTTTGGTTAAGTATCCTGAAAAGTGACACGTGATGAGGATGGTAAAAGATAACAACAACAAAAAAAAATCAAAACCCGTTGCCTTCGAGTCAATTCCAACACACAGTGACCCTATAGGACAGAGTAGAACTGCCCCATAGGATTTCCAAGCAGCGGCTGGTGAATTCAAACTGCTGATCTTCTGGTTAACAGCCAAGCTCTTGACCACTGTGCCACCAATTTTACATTTAATGTTTCTTTTAAAAAATACCTTACGTAGTATTCTGTCACTTTTAAAACACAGACTGGACGTGGTATAGTAAAAAAAATATCAGGCCAGGAGATCTGGGTTTTACTCTTGTTCTTCCACTGACTAACAATGTGATCTTGAGCAAGATACCTACCTTCTCTGAGTCTCAGCTTTTAAATGCACAAAATGAGTGTCATGGGTTTTACGATGATTAGATACAGTTATGTATTTGTAAAGCACCTGGCACATGGTAGCTGTTTAATGTGTGCTAATTAATATTCTTGCTGATGCTAGTATTTTTACTGGACAAGTCATTTATAATTCTTATCTTCATCTTGAATATTCAGCAGGGTTTTTTTTTTTTTTTGGGAGGGAAGGAAAAAATAAGAGACCCAACAATATTATATTTCTCTACCATGGTCCAAAGGGCTCATGATTTAAAATATATTCTTAGGATTTGGAGTGAGTGTATTCTTAAAATTGTGCCATTTTCTAGCTGTGTCATTTTCTGTGCTTAATCACTCTGACTCTCAGTTTTGCATCTGAAATATGTAGATAATAATTAGAATTCTTCTTAGAAACAAGCACATTCATATATGTAATAAACCTAATACTTGACACATAATTGGTGTTTAATCAACCGTAACTGTCATGGATTGAACTGTGTCCCCCAAAAATATGTCAACTTGGTTGGGCCATTATTGGCAGTACTAGCTGTCCTCCGTTTTGTGGTTGATATAATTTTCCTATGTGTTGTAAATCCTAATCTCTGCCTCTGGTTAATGAGGCATGTTTCGATTATGTTAAAGAGGATTAGGATGGGATGTAACACCCTTGCTCAGGTCACATCCCTGATCCAATGTAAAGGTAGTTTCCCTGGGGTGTGGCCTGCAACACCTTTTATCTTACAAGAGATAAAAGGAAAGGGAAGGGAGCAGAGAGGGAGGACCTCATACCACCAAGAAAGCAGCACTGAGAGCAGAGCGTATCCTTTGGACCTGGGGTTCCTGCACAGAGAAGCTTCTGGTCCAGGGAAAGATTGATGAGAAGGAACTTCCTCCAGAGCTGACAGAGAGAGAAAGCCTTCCCCTGGAGCTGATACCCTGAATTTGGACTTCTAGCCTACTAGACTGTGAGAAAATAAATTTCTCTTTGTTAAAGCCATCCACTTGTGGTATTTCCATTATAGCAGCACTAGATAACTAAGACAGTAACTATGATTACTGTGCTTCTCATTTATTTTTTTAATCCTTTTTCAATATGCCCCAGGTCAGAACAGCTTCTTCTGGAGCATGCTCTGCAAGCACTAACCTCCCAAACCTCTCGCCGCTCTTTCTGTTTCTTTAAGGTACCAATGTGTGTCTTTCCTAATTTGATGCTTGCTTAGGCCACAAAGCTAGTACACCTACTTTCTCCTCAGATGATGGTAGATCCTGCCCAGAGAAGTTAATATTTTGGTTAGGACGGCAAACATTACTTATTCAGGAGGATAAAATGCTAAAGAAACTTTAAAAGTGCCCATGTCTTAGGTTAAATGAAGAAAGTGTGACTTTATTAAATAGCATATGAAAGGCATTAAAATGCTAATGTACATTTTGAGTTTCCAGGCGAGGTATATGGGATGTAGCCTTTCCTCAATTTATTTGATAATAGATTCTTTTTTGGTTAATTGTTTGTAAGAATTTGTCTTCCAGACAACAGGATTTGGATAGTCCTTTTCTAAGGAGGCAGATCTTCCTTATACCCTCTTATTTAACTTCTTCCCCATTCGCTGGTTCTCTTTGCTTTCTTCCATATTGACTTTAATTAGATATTTTTATTGAATATCTATTAATATAACCAAATAATTTAATGAGCATACTATATTAGAGCTGCTGTGTGTGTTTTAAAATATCACTTAAAGGAATAAAAAAGATGGAGAGGGGAAAAAACACAATAAAAAGGCATTAAATATGTATTTTTTAAAAAGCCTTACTACAAATTAAAAAAATAAATTATCAGAAAATATTATTTTCACTTGGAAGATTGTTAAAACAATTTATAATATCTGATGTTGCTGCAGGTTTGGGTATAGGTCACTTTCAAACACAGCGTTAGGGAATATAATAACAATAATCATTCTATTTGGATTGTTGTATAATGGATCATTTTAATTTTCTTCCCTCTGTTTTACTGGATGTTCCAAATTTTCTACAGTAAATACATTTTACCGTTAATCAGGAGAAACTACCAGTCTGTTCGGGTTTTACCATTGCTATTGAGAACACCTCTAAGTGGAAAATAATATGAAACTTTCTTGGCTTCTTTGTAAAGTTTCTTATGTAAGTTTATTTTTAATATAACTTCTAAAACACTCCTTCCTCTATTTTTGGGCATATAGAAAAGACAGTTGGCTTGACAAATAATAATTCATATACATGTGTATGTGAATACTAATCAGAATAACTTCAATTTTAAAATGGCAAACACAATATCCTGATAAATAGTCTTTGCTATTTATGAGATTAAGTGGGAAAAAATAAGTATAGCTTACCTGAGAAGCACTGTATATTTTTGCTCATTATCTACTCTTACAGTAGTATTAATGATTTTCAATTTTGCTTCACCAGCACAGAAAAAGTGGTACTATGGGGAAAAAAAAAAAAAAGTGTTGCCTCAAAGAGTTTTCCCATATAAAATAAACATCTTTTATGTACATTGAACTTTAAAATTCATCAATACTTTTTACATTGCTCTGGGATACAAGAAGTCTGAAACTTAAAGACAAATGACAGCTCGAGTATATACATACAGCTAAATAAGTGCTAGAATTAAAACATACAAATATATAAGTGTTACATACATATGCACACACATATACATATACATAAATGTATCAATAAATCTTCTGGATTCCTTTCTAGTACTCTTGGGAACATGATGAGATAGGTATTTTCTTCTTCTAGCAAGAAAAGAGAAGTATTGGCAAGTTTCGTTAGATACTATCAACTGAGTAATGCAAAGACCAAAATACAATTTAGGGTGCGATGCCAATGTCTTAAGAAGGGATACTTAAAGAGTATGGAAGTTAATCATTCATTCCAAGGTTCCTGAGACTGGAGGGGGCATAGGACCATTTATAGGATTACTGCTATTTTGACAGCTGAGTCATAGTTAAGAGAGGGGCAAATGATGTCTATAGCAGGTGTGCTTGACCAGGAACCCCTGGGAACTCCATGGGTGGCCTGAAGTGGCTTATTCATCTTCTTAACATGCATGTACTGGTATGTATATTGGTTATGGTATGACTGTTCTTTCCTGGAGAGGGGCCTCATAGTCTTTATCAGGTCTACAAGAGATCTGGAACCCACATATATGTTAAGAAATTCAGTTACATAGTTTCATAACTCCTGTGCACCCAGCTACAATATTTAAGTTGATTTATCTAAATGTTCCTCCTTGTAATCAAAGATGAATATGTTGTTTTTGTTAGTTGCTGTTAAGTCAGTTCCTACTCATGGTGACCACATGTGCGCAGAGTAGAACTATTCCATAGGTTTTTTAAAGTTGTGATCTTTTGGAAGTAAATCGCCAGGCCTGTCTTCTGAGGCACCTCTGGATGGGTTAGAACTGGCAACACTTTGGCGAGCAGTGGAGTGCTTAACCATTTGCTCCACCCAGGGACTATGTAATTTTTTTATTACTGTTATTTGCAAGAGGTTATTTTACTTTACAAAATTATCTACTGCAAGTTGACTTTAGGAAAGATATTACCCTGCCTTGAAATTTTTCAAAAATGAACACTGACAGGTACTTCCAGGAAAATCAGTTGTATATAATATCTGGCTATACTTTCCTCTTAAGCTATGTGTAACTAAGGAAAAAATCCTTTGCTGTTGAGTCGATTCCAACTCATAATGACCCTATAGAAAAGAGTAGAACTGCTCTGTAGGGTTTCCAAGGAGCAGCTGATGGCTTTGAACTGCTGACCTACTGGGTTAGCAGACGAGCCCTTAACCACTGTACCACCAGGGCTCCGAATAAGGAAAAGTCAGTGGTTACTTACTGAATTCTTACTCTGTACCTAGTATACAACCAAGTTGACTAGTTAATAAATTTAATATTTTGACAGCATGGATAATAATTCAGCTGCTTCCTATGTATAAAACTCTTGAGATCTACATTGTCAGTTAAGATTAAGTTATTTACGCTAAAATGATAATGTGTTGATCAACTGTGGTGGGGAGAGTCTCCTTATTTTGTTCAAATATATTACACAATGGTTCTTCGGGCACTGCTAAATCTTAATTCCCTATTATTTTCATAGATGTCAAATTGGATAATATATCAACATATGATCTATATAAAATATTTAATAGATGGTTCTGTAATTTTACCTGACTTTTTTTCTCCTGTTATAAATAGATCCTATATGCTATGTATAAAATCAATAGCTACTGTTTGTATAGTACATTACTCTATGTCGTGGGTTTTTTGAAGCACTTTGTAAGTTTCAACTGGTTGCTCCCTCATAAAACAAAACAAAGCAAACCAAAACCATTTTTCAGAGATGGCAATTGAGGTTAAATAATTTGTCTCCAGTTAGGGAGGCGCAATGATTTGTAACACAGCTTGTAAGTAAGTGGGATGACTGAGATGTAAATCCAGACAGTGGACTTATTCACCTACCTTCTGGTTAGGAAATCTTTAAAACAATTTTAAGTTTGGTATATTAAATATTTCTAAAAACCTGAAGTTGCTACAAAACATTTTTAAAACCCGCATTTCTAGAATTTGAATAGGTCTTATATTGTGATCACTCTACAAGTTCAGTGATAAATATGCCTTTTTGAGAAAATTGTAATGTTAATGCATTCCCATATGACTGTATTTTTAAAATAGATGAGGAAATTGAACTATTGTCTTACAGATCATAGAGGAACAAAGGAAATCTTAAAATCGTGACAGTAGAAGACCACTAAGATTTCATCTAAATCATTCCAGGGAAGCAGTGATGTGTAGTAAAAAAGAACATGAATTTTGGATTTAAACAACAGAGTAAAAACTCCTGCTCTATCATCCTTAAAAGAGCTGGAAGAGATTGTACAGCATACTGAAACTCTCTGAGAGTCTCAGTTTGTCCTCAGGGTCATTGTGGGATGCAGTGAGAATATAGCTAATTCTCACATAGGATTATTATGTTCCAGGCTTTGTTCTATATATTTTACATGTATTTTTTCATTTACTCATTGCATTACATTTCCTCACAACATTTAATCATTTATTAATTTAAACCTCACAACTTATATTACCCCCATTTTACAGCTGAATGAATTTAAACATAAACTGTTAAGTGACTTGCTAGATCTCAAAGCTTTTAAGTGGCAGAGCTAGGATTTAAATCCTAATAGTCTAGCTCCAGTTAACAATAAACATTGTTAAGATGGAGCCTGACACATAACTGCAAGTTTATAGCTACTGTATATAGAGTAAATTATAAATGGTTGTTGTTGTTATTGATAGCTGCCATGGAGTCAGCCCCTGACTCATGGTGACCATGTACAGGGAAACAAAATGCTGCCTGGTCATATACCATCCACATTATTCATTGTGATTCATAGGGTTTTCATGGACTGATTTTTGGAAGTAGATTGCCAGGTCATCCTTCCTCGTCTTGTTAGTAGGGAAGCTCCACTGAAACATGTTCAGTGTAGTAGCAATATGCAAGCCTCCACTGACAGAAATGAGGTGGCTGTGCATGAGGTGCATTGGCACGGAAGGCAAGAATTCTGCCACTGAAAGACCAATGCCCCCACATGGTTAAGAGCTCAGATACTAACCAAAAGGTCAGCAGTTTGAATCCACCAGCCACTCCTTGGAAACCCTATGAGGCAGTTCTACTCTGTCCTACAGGGTCACTATGAGTCAAAATCGACTCGACAGTAACGGTTTTTATCAATATATATCTGTTCCTTGTCATAAAATCTAAGGGAAATAAATTCTACATCCTTCTCCATCCATTATAATTTTATAATTCCTAAACATCTGAGTTCAACCTTTTGTAAATTTATTTTTATCTATCTGAAAGTGAAAAGTGAACATTAGCATCCATAAGTCATTATTTCATAAAATATTTTCACTCACAGCTCCAACAGGTCTCTGGTAATTCCTTGTAATACCTCTGACTGGAGATACCCACAGTGGTGAGAGGAACTAGTTGTGTTAACACACTCTGTTATGGCAGCTAAGTTAGCAGCACACACAAAATAACTATGTTGTGAGTAGACACTCTGAACATGACCAACAGTCAATAATATGTGTGCATTATAATTTCTTACATTTGGTCTTTATATGTTTGCTGTTTATTGTAAGACTAGTGGAAATTTCGGGACTTAGTTGAGAAAAAAATGCTTTAGAACAGAGATCAGCAAACTTTTTTAAAAGGGTTAGATGGTATATATTTTAGGCTATGTGGCCCCAGAGGCAAAACTGAAGATATTATGTAGGTGCTTGGCACTGTGGTTAAGAGTTTGGCTGCTAACCAAAAGGTTGGCAGTTCGAATCCACCAGCTGCTCCTTGGAAACACTATGGGGCAGTTCTGCTCTGTCCTATAGAGTCACCATGAGTTGAATATTGACTCAACAGCAACAGTTTTGTTTTGTTTTTTTTTGGGGGGGGTACATTTAACTTTCTTCAGTCTCAGGTTTCTCATCAACAAAATGAGAAAGTTGCTGGTCTATTAGTTTTACTCTCAGTTCCTATGCTTGATGATTCATTATAATATTTTATTCATTACACAATTCATTTTCTTTCACCTGTCCTTAGTACTATCTGTGATCAACTGGAAGTAACATGAGGAATACAAATTCTGTTTTGTTCACTATTTAACCATCAGAACCTAGTATAGTGACTGCTGATAGATACTTCTTCAATGAATGAGTGAACAGACACATAAATGCGTGAAATACTATTGCTGCTAGTACTCGGCTACATCTGATTGACACATTTATTTATGATGTCAGATTATGTTCTCAATGCTGTATATGTGTTTTATTATCCAAGAATGATGAGCATTAAAAAAAAATCATGCTAGTGGAATTTAATTTATTTAAAATATAAAATATACTTTGCCTTTTTATGGCAAAAAAATGTGTATATATAAATCACATCAAAATAAATGATAGACAAAAAATACAATTATGTTTCATATATTAAACTGTGCAAAATTAATTACATTATTGCAGTAATGATTATGATGACTTCCTTAAACTGGGTATTTAGAACAGGAATGTGAGGTGGTTTGTTGAAGTAGAATGGTGTTGGGGAAAAAGCATGTGCTCTCAAATCAGAATTGGCTTCAAAATCTAGTTTTTATTAGCTGTTTAACTTTGGACTTTTAAAAGATGCTTATAAAAAAAATCAACCCACTGCTGTTGAATCGATAATGACTCATAGTGACTATAAGACAGAGTAGAACTGCCTCATAGAGTTTCCAAGGCTTTAATCTTTATGGAAGCGGACTGCAACATTTTTCTCACGCGGAGCAGCTGGTGTGTTTGAACCACCAACCTTTCGGTTAGCAGCCAAGTGCTTAACCACTGCACCACCAGGGCTCCTTAGATTACCAAGTGTTAAATCCATGATCTAAACTTTTTGATCTCAGAATCCCTTCCCTCCAAAATCAAATCCACTGCTGTTGAGTTGATTTTGACTCATAGTGACCCTAAAAGACAGAATAGAACTGCACCAAAGGGTTTCCAAGGAGCAGCTGGTAGATTTGAACTGCTGACCTTTTGGTTAGCAGCCATAACTCTTAACCACTGCACCACCAGGGCAGAGTCCCTTTATACTCTTAAAAATGATTGAGAACCTCAAAGAGTTTTTGTTTATTGGTTATGTCAGTCAATATTGACAATATTAGAAATTGAAACAGAAAATTTTAAAATGAACAAAGAAAAACCTAAGCACGCATTACGTTAGCAATCAGAACAATGACTCCATCACGTCATGTAGTCTCCAGAAATCTCCACTGCACATGCATGAAAGGATGAAAATGAAAAAGGCAAATGGCATCTTAAGTATTATTATGAAAATAGTTTTTCTCTCAAGGATGTTCTGAAAGGATCTTGGGGTTCCACAGAGGCTCCTGATCACAGCTGACATTAAGATTTTAAACAATGGTAGAATTTATTACCATTGGGAAATTGGGAAACTGTCAAAGTAAAATGGAAGAACAGATGGGAATATAGAGAATAGAAGAGAATGAAAGTTATTATATACTGTTTTGATACATAAACACTGAACAGGAAAAAATTTAAATAATAGAATAAAAGACACCCTGGTGGTGAGTATAAAAAACAGATTTAAGCTGAAATTTTATTTTGACAATAACCACTAAATTGGAGAATCAAAACAACTTCCTAAAATCTCGTTTAAATTGAATGAATTCAATGACTTACCTTTAAAGTGCCATTTTCAATAAATAATTGCATAAAAAATCCATCTACTGAATTTGAGTCTTCCTTGATGTAGAGCAGGATTCCAGAGGAGCTGGAGGTCTGAAACTCTAGGGAGATGTTATTTTGTGGCTTTAAAAGCACTTTCTGAAATTCTAGATAGGAATCTCCATAATAACGAACACAACTGAAATCTGTGGAGTCAGAAAGAGAATGCAATTCAGGTTGGAACTGAATGTTCAATACTTGGGTTTCACATTATTTATATTAGCATAATGCTTTCTGAAAATGGCTCATGTGTGAGTTTTTCTGCCTTTTTTAAGCCCGAGTACTTATTCTGTGGCATAGTAACAGTGGCTGTCTTAATTTCTATGCATTTGGGAGTCTCATACTAAAATCTTATCAGAAAGCAGAGATGTCTAAATTGATTAACACTGTTTTAACTTAGATTTTATATAACGGGTCAATAAAATAGTAAAATTTCATAAATTTTCTAAAATAAATATTTTCAAATTTCTACATATTCTAAAATAAAACTTATTTTCTGTTTATATAAGATGTAGGTGCAAAATAATTATTTATATTATTATTGTTAATTTGATTTGGGGTGGCTTGTGACAGGCTGATAGAGATTAATAGGAAGCAAAAGAATTATTCATTGCCATTCTTTATCATCAACACTGTATATTATTTGATCTTCTTGACAAACGTCTCTCTCTCTCTTCATTTTGCCGTCTGGATGATGATATTTTGTTAGCTATAATTTATCAAATAAAACTTAGAGACATTTTGAGCAAAAAACACTGGTAATTTAAATTCTTAAATTTATAAATACATAATAAAACAAAGCTAGCTATTCTCTGAATAAGTTATTAATTTATATTATTATTAGCAGTAATCATTTTTGTTTGATAAATGCTTGATTGATTGTTGTTGGTTGATGATATTTCCATTACAATGGATTTGAATACTTCCTTTCTTTCACTTCCTCTCTTTTTGCTGCCTTCTCTGTGACGCACATACACACACAAAATCTCTCCCTTAAACTTCCCAAATTGTTTATTTGTTATAATTAAGAGAAGATATCATTTATGAAACTATAAAAGTTTTAGTTTGCTATCTGTCATAGAATAGCACTCTTTTTTGAATCTGTACTTTAAAATCTTAGTAGCGTTTATATCCTATGTGTAGTATCTTTTTTATCTGGAATTTTCAATAAAATTTTAGAGATTCTCATTGGGTTGAATTTTCTAACTTCTAAAAAACTTTAAAGAAATAATCAGCTAAACATCAATTTTTTTTTTTTTTCTTTTTAACTAGAAATAAGATTTAAAATACAGCCAGAAAACATTTGTGCTTTGTAGACATAAAAGCCTATGTGGGTGTTTTTTGTTTTTTTTTTTTTAATTGAGGGATTCATTAGTGAAGTATGGCTCGAAGAGTTTAAATATTCACAATGTGCTTTCAATTTTCATTGTTTTAGTTGTTATGTGATATAGACAGATATTTCTTCCTTGAAGAGTTTGAATGGTGATGTTAAAAGCATAGTACAAAACAGTTTCACACAACATTAAAGTTGAAAAGCTTTCAACTATCTGTTTGAATGAATGGGAGATGGAAATAAACATGCTTGGTTTAAAATTCAAAACATGTTAGAACATAAAATATTTTCAGGCAAAACACTAACATTACAATAACATATATCCATTATTGGTGAAATAAAGAAACTCATGTATTTTTAAACCATTTAAAAATCAATACATTGTCCAATCAACAATGGCTACCTCATGAACTCTTTAATTTTTATTTTTTTTGGATATGTATTGTTATGAGGTAGGTTTTTCTTTTTAATTAAATGCCCTCATCACCTGTAAACGGTGCACTATTTAAAAACTGACACATGCGCAATTGTAAGCTGTATGAGGGCAAGATTCACATGTGTTTGGTTTATCACTTTCTCCCAAGTGCCTACCATAACACCTGATTTTCTTAAGCATGTGAAAACAATATTTCTTATGAAAAAAAAAGTCATTGCTTTTGTTTAAATGTGGTTGGAAAATTACATTTCCTTATGTTTGGATGAAAAAAAAATACTAATGTATTCAAACATGTGTTGCATAGAGTATGTGACCCTATCCTTTGTGTTTCCTATTTCAGTGAGTGAATACAGATTTCATTTTATGCCTCTCTTATCAAAAATCTTTAATCAGATAAAAAGGATTGCATAAGTGCAGAAAAAATAAAGATAAATAAATACAGAGACATTTCCAGTAATAGTGAATTAATGGATATAATACTCAACATTCTTTAATAAGTTCTGAATAATTACTTGAACATCACATTTTCATTTTAATAAAATAATACATAGTTAGAAAAATTAAAGAATCCGTTAGTTGATTCTTTTATTTTGTTACTTGGCTAGCAGATCATAAACTCCTAAACAGATTTCAAAGAAAAGGGCATTCTTGTATTATATGGTGTTCTATACATAAAATCTGAAAGCTGGAATCTTGTGAGAAAATAGTTAAATATAAGGCTTTTCTACAAGATTAATAATTTGATAGTGAGTCTATGACTCTGGAAAGCTAAGTAAAGACAATATATGATTTACCCCTATTTCTAGTAGGTTTTTGTCAATATCAGGGTAATCCATGAATAATCAGAGTGATGAAGAGAGACTATGTATTGCTCTGTGGATTATGTATCACTAGCTCAAGGTTAAGCATATTTTGCAACTAAAATGCAAAATTTCCCTTTACTTGTTTCATGCATCTTGAAAGTAATATGTAGGAAATAATAGTCAACACTTGTGGAGGGGATGATAGCAGTTGCCATCAAGTGTATTCTGACTCATGGCAACCCCATGTGCATCAGAATGGAACTGTGAATCAAAAATATTGTTTTTGGTGAAAGCTTAAGCAGGTTAGGTTCCCCTTTGACAATTCCCACACAAATTGATCAATGACATCAGTTACATTTTTCATTGTGTCAACATTCTCATTGATTGTGTTCTGGTGGTTCCATTTCCAGCACTCTAGTTTCCCTGCCCTCTTATCTTCTTATCTTTGCTTTGGATTAAATGTTGACCTTTTGGACTCATACAGGTGTTTCTATAGGTGAGCACCAATCTAACAGGTAATATCCTTTATTTTGTGTGTCACTCTGCTTTTCTCCAGAGAGTTTTCAATGGCTGCTTTTTGAAAGTAGATCACCAGGCTTTTCTTCTGAGGCAACTGGTAAATAAAAGATTAATTTCAGAAAAGACTATATATAAATTACTTAAATATAATTCATGTAGAAATGTTAAGCAGAGTGTTTATTAAGAAAAAAGCACTGTGGTCTTGTTTCTACTAGTAAGCAGATCAACAACCAATTATGAGCTGCAGAAACCCTCTGTGACTTGAATGTCTTAATTCGTGTTATTTCTGGAAGAAGAGCTTGGATTTTATCATTACAAAATGCTCTCCATGTTTAATGCGTTATACCACCATGTTCTACAACTGTGTGTAATTCATCTTAAAACCCAACTTTATATAATCCACTTGAATTCATCTCAATTAGCTTAATATTTTTAATAAAGTAGAACAAAAGAAAATTAGCATTTATCCACAGCCTACTATGTACTAGGTTTTGTTAGATGTTTTACTCATGCTTCTTGAAATGCTGATTTTTTTTTCCTCTGGCAATGTAAAGATTCATGTTTTAGGAAAATTTGTTTTGTAGAAACAAAGCTTACTTCAAAATAAATTATGAAATATTTGTTTCTTTCATAGATTTCCATAGACTGATTGGCTCATGAATGGTAAGTAAATGGCACAATTTATAGAACAAGTATTAATTGCATACTGCATAAAAAGAAGTTAGAAAGCAAACGACAGTACTGAAATTAAAAGCCAGGGCACACAGTTTAAGATTTTCAGTGTTGCCAATGGAAATATATCATAAATATAAACTACAGAGGCAGATTTTAAAAACGCGGATGATTGCAAGGAAAGCTCAGGGAGAAGAAGTTGAAATTTTTTTTCTGAAAGCAATCAACAATCTTTTTAAAAGGAAGCACTGTATCTATAACCCTAATATTTTTCTTTTGCCATCAAATGGAGATAGATTATCAGAATAATTCCTGTAATAGCAGCCTGTAAGGATGGAAAGTAACTCCTTCTAAAATAAAAATGAAATTATGCCACTCTGCTGCTTAAAATAATTTCACACTACCAGTTGCCTACAACAGAATTGCTGAGTATTCATTCTCCATAAAATCTTTCCAAACTCTCCCTTTCTCCTTTTTTCTTTTAATGTGCAATGCCAGTTATTCTTAGATAATTTAGAGAACAGTCATTTTCCTTTATTGATGTGCATTACCAGTTCTGTTGTGCATCACCTTCCTCTATACACAAGTCCATTTCTGGGATCATAATCTCATTTTAATGGACAGAGAGTTAACCCTTAGCAAATAAAACACTAACTTCATTTGTATATCTTTATGCTAAGTCTTGGTATCGTACAGAGCAATTTCCATCACCTTCACATTGTTCTCCTTCTACGGGATTATGCTCCTTTGTCTTATACCCTTTGATATTAGAATCAGTTACATTTACAAAAACCCTATCGAATTATACAAAAATTCTTATTTGAAATTGATTAGAATCCCATTGATTTTTATAGAAAAAAAGTGGGAATAAATGAAATCTTTGTGATACTTTATCTTCCTACATATAGATGTGGTATATGTACCCATTGCAAAATTTTACTAGAGCTTCTTATTTATTTTTAGTATAGTGTTATACTTTTATTCATAAAGGTTACGTGCATATTTTGTCAGGTTAGTTTCTAAAAACCTTATAAATTTGTTGCTATTTAGTTTTTTTCTTTTTTTTTTTTTGTCAGTTTAGCTCATTAATTATGGTGGCATATAGCAATGTGATTGACTCATTGAGCAAACTTGTTGAACTCTCATATTTAATAATCCTAAATCATCTGTGATTAATGAGAATTTTATTCCTTTGGTTCTCAAGTCTTAAAATATCTTATTCATTGCCTAGGACCATCAAAACAAACAAACAAACAAAACACACACACATACATTAAACTGAAATAATGATAATTTCCTGTTTTGATTTTAAAGAAAAGTCCTTTAGTTTTGAACTTTGAATGTAATGTTTTGCTCTTATTTTTAAAGTAATACCCTTTAAGC